CAGGACTCTCCTCCTCCTCCTCCTCCTCCTCCTCGTGCATGGAGCTTGGGCAGGGGGACCCCCCCCCGGCGCCTGGTCTCCAGGGGGGACCCTTGGCTGGGAGGGAACCGTGTCTCCTCAGCCGCCCAGAGGGAGGGAGGAGGAGGGTGGCTGGCCGCCTTGGGGTCACCTCGAAGGCCAGCCGCACTGACCTCGTCCGGAGCCTCTTCACGCGCTCCGGCTGGACAAGGGACCGAAAGCCCTGCCTGGGTTCTTTTGGCGGCTCCTTGTTTCTCCCCGTCCCGCCAAAGGTGTTGGAAGAGACGGGCTCAGCTGGGAGGCGGGCAGGAGCATCCCCGGCGGGCCGGCTCCCCTGGCTGTCTGGAACCCTGCGGCGGCTGTGGCCCTTCTCCGCCTTTCCCTGAAGCCCCGAGGGCGCCGAACCACAAGGAGACCCCGCTGGCGAGCTTCTTCGGAGAACACCGCGCGCGTCCCTTTGCGTCCGACTCTCTTGCCTCTCTCGGTCTTGCAGGTGGTTTTATCCTTTTCCCCAGTGGGAGGTGCCCGGCTAGCTCGGGACAAACAATCGGAGCAATTTGCCGGGTGGAATTTTCGGGTTAAAGACGCAAACCAGGCCCAGTGGAGATACCTTTTCCTGTGAGTTCCTCCCTCCCTCTTCCTTCCTTCCTTCCTTCCTTCCTTCCTTCCTTCCTTCCTTCCTTCTCTTTCCCTCCCTCCCTTCTATCCATCACCAGCTCCTGCCTGCCTGCCTTCCTCCCTTCCTCTGTGCCTGCCTGCCAGCCTGCCAGCCTCATTCAGAGTCCTTGGTGGAAATCCTGTAGCCCACAAGGAAAATTTGGGAAGTTATCATTTTGGACTTCCAGAATTCCCCAGCCAGCTGCCCTCTGGTGGTGGTGGTGGGGAGATTCCATGCTCCTTCCTTAGAACTTATGCACAACACCCTTTTTGCATTAAATTTGGCCATGGTTGTCGGCCCAGCTGAAGGACTGACTTTTAGAGCAAGTTCTGAACTGCATTGTGAGGCAGGCACGTGCATAAACACACCCACACCCACACACACCCCTCCAGCTGCCTATTTAAACAATGTCCGAGTTAGAAGCAAAGAGCTTTTCTCCCCAACTCCCCCGCCCGCATGCCGCTGGGTGACCAGAGAGGGGCCAGTGGTCTCTGCCACAGACTTAAACTGATCCCTTCCAGCAGGATTTGGAAATCAGGTCGTCCAGGCCCTCATTTGGCCCTCGGCGGACGTGGCCCACCCTGCCATAGATGTTCCGCTCAGCTGGTGACCAAAGGGGACAGCCGAGTTCTTGAAGATCCTTTCCACCATGGATGTGCCCCCACCCCCATGAAAGGAAAGGCCCACGCAGCTTGCCTATAGAAGGATTTGGGAAGCATGCAATCAACATTATGAGACTGGAATCCTCGTTCCCTTTTCTTTGGATCCGTGGCACATTTCCTTTATCCCAATCCTGTGGACCCCGAAAACTCTACATTCTGGTTTTGTTTGAACTGAAGAATAACTGGCATTTTTGCTGGCAGAATGCAGCAAATTCTTGCTAGTCTGGTGAATATTAAAAAAAGAGCAACCACCTCAACATAGATCAAAACGTGAACTAAAATCTGGAAGGCAGAAAATAGTAGAAAAGTGGAGTCTGAATTTTGATATTGCAATATGAATAGACTGGATGTTAGTATATTTTTGTTCCCCCCCTTTTCTTTTTTTCTTATACCCCTCTTGCTTTCTGTATCCCATACCCTAACCCATGTTATTAAAACAATAAAAAAGAAAAAAAGAGCAACCACCTTGAAAGCCCCAGCCCCAAAAAACAGAAAACTTTATTTATGGCTTCAGAAAATCCATTTGTGAATAGTGCAGAAAAAAGGGCCCTAAACGTGATTACAGAAGTCCTTAAAGCTGTCTTCCATTTGTGAAAGTTTATTGGCAACCTCTGTGGAGAAGACAGGGTGAGTCTACCTCTTTCTGCTTACGTCCTAAGAGAAGGAAAACACAGGAGAAAAGAGGAAGGAAATCACAGTCTACAGGTAGATCTAGAAAGGACAAGAAGGAATAACACACCAGGGCTCTCTATCGACCTTCTTCCCTTGCTCTCCCAGTTCCAATCACAAGTGGCAGGCATCGCTGTCCTCTTCCAGCTTGAATGCCCGCCCCATTAGAGGAGCTCCCTTTGATGCCTGTTGGTTGACGGGCTTTTTACTTCCGTGATCAACTGAGCGTAGCCCTCCCGATGCTCTGAAAACAGACCTTTGTCTTCACTGGAAGGAACAGTCCCAGAGTCAGACCAACCTGTCCTGTGTGTTGGTCTGTTCTTTCCCTTTGTTCCATGTCCTCCTTGGCAAACAATAAGAAGACTGACAGGTTAGACCAGGAGTACCTCTGTCCCAGCCCCTTTTCCCTACTCCGGCCAAACCAATGCCTCTAGGAAGATACGCCTTCAAGGCATGAGCCATTCCAGAGACACACACATCCCTTGCAAATATTTTTTAAGGATACAGTGCTTCTCCATCTGGAAGCTCCACTGGTCAGCACAAGGAATAGCCCCTGAGAAACCTCTTTACCTTTACATTCCTTGTTCTGACCCTCTTTTAAAACCACCTAGACCCATCTTGTGGCCCCCGATTCGCTCCAAAACACTTTGCATGGTTTGGACCCTCTGAAATCTGTTCCTTCGACTCTGGTGCAAACGCCTGAGCTGCTGTTCCTCCATCTGCAGAAACGCGGGATTCCTATAACATTCCATCTGTCGCTGCCTCCCCCACCAGCCAGTTGGGTTGGGAGCAGAATTTTAGGGGCTGTGCCTTGTCGAATTCACCCGGAGGAGACCCCATTTTGTCAGGGGGGGACACTGACCGATGCCAAGAGAACACAAACAGGACAGGCTGCAGCTCCACACCACTCGGCTGTCTGGAGAGCAGGAGCAGGCCAGTAAGAGAGAGAGAGAGAGAGAGAGAGAGAGAGAAGCTGAGAGGACTCTGATGAGGTCATGAAAGAAACTCTGGCCAGAACGAAGGACTGGCCTTTTGGGTGGAAGTCCTCGTCGGGGATCCTGCACCACGGAGACTTGGACCCGAGACACCCCCCCATGAGCCTTTTGCAAACAGGAAGGCCATTTAACTCTCTTCCTGCTTGATGTGGTTGATATTTTATCTGCAGCCTTCCCACCGCTGTCACCACATCCTCTGGCCCGGTGGCCGGGCTGTGCCTTGAGATATCCTCTCTAGCTTTGTTATGGCTTGATGGTTGATGGGGGGGGAGAGGATTAAGGAGGGGCAGCCAGCATTTCCAACAGGCAGCCACGTTGGCTGATCAAGTGTGCCAGGGATGAAAATGCCAACCGTTCTGGCTAGGGCTTTGCTCCTGCCTCCCACCACACTCTGACAGCAGCCAGGGCTCTCTTCCCCTTCCCCTTCCACCTCCCAAGGAAACCAGCCCAAAGAAGACCCAACGGGAAGCTTCGCTCTCCTTCCAGTAAGAGGACGCCTGAGGCAGTGGAACTCGCTGCCTTACCACCACCACCCCTTCCTGGAGACCCTTTGCTGCCTTCCTCCCCTTCTAGCAGGAGCAGACAGAGGCTGGCGTGGCAGGTGTCCCTTCTCGGGCTGGCTGCTTCTTTTCTGAGCATATCAGCTGATCCTCCGAGAGGATCTCAGGAGAGCCCTTGGGGGCCTGGGGGGCGGGGTGGGGGCTTGCTTGGTGTGGTTCCTCTGAGCCACTCAAGGCGGGGTCAGAGCAGCCGTCCCAAAGAGATCCAGGACGGGTCCAGCGGCTGCCCCAGGGAGACGCTTGGCTTCCTCCCAGGGGGGCATGGCTGGTCCCAAGAGAAGGCCCTCTCCAGCCAAGGGGGAGCATTCTGGGACACCCAGACTCCGCCACCTCACCCCCTCCGTACTCAGAACAAGCAGGGCCTTCTCGGTGGCTGCTTCAAGGCCACGGATGGCTCTCAGTGGCCTTTCTGTCCAGGCCGGCCTCTGGCAGCTCCCCACAGCTGTTGGGAAAGGGGCTCTCTGGGGCTTGGAGGCCCTTCTTTTCTTTTCCAGGCACACGATCAGCACTTTATGCCTGAAATTCATGCTTTCCTGCTTAACCCTTGTTGCGAGCCGCCTGGAAACCCGTCCTATGGGAGAAAGGCAGACCAGTGAACAAATGTGGAGTTGACCTCTGTGGCCGCAGGATGGGACCCAAAGTGGGTGACGTGACTTTGAGCCCGCAGAGATGAGACGGCCCTGGTGCCCAAAGGAACGGCAGAGCTGGAAGGGACACCCCCTCCCCCGGATCATCCAGTCCGGCCCCTGTCAAGGAGGTCCAGGGGCAGGGGTGGGGGGAATTGAACTCCCAACTTCTGGCCCCGAAGCCAGAGACCCAAACCACAGAGCTCTCCAACTGTTTATTCTGCGCGTTCCATGGGTTTTATTGATCTCCTCTTGTTCCCTGCCACATGGCAGAATTGTGGGTCTGAGAGGCAGCTGTGTGGACTCTAAACTGCCCGCCCCCAAGTTCTGGGGCAGCCTGAGCAAGGGTGGGGGGGTCACCCTCCCTCTGGGGCTCCTCTTCTCATCTCAGGCGCTGCGGAGCGGGATCGCTTGCTAGGGGGTGTTGCTCTTCCCCCTTGGCAAGCCAGGCACGATCAATCGGCGAGGAGTCAAGAGCGGGGAGGGACGCCTGATGGGCTGCAGAGGGGGCTGGCCCTTCCCCTTGGCCTGGCGGAAGGGGACTTTCAGATGAGGCGCTGGGATGCCAGGTCTTCGATACGTTTGCCAATCTGCCAGTGCCCTCCATGGCGCCCCATCCTTTGGGGAGAGCAGGAGGGAGGGTCGGAGGTAGAGTCTGAATGGGAGGAGGGCAAGAGCGCCCGTCTAGCTAACAGCCCGTCGGCTCCATCATCTCCACGTTGTTGCTGCCCGTGAGCGGGGCTCGGGCGTATTGCTGGGTGAACTTGGCGTAGAAGTGGGTCAGTTTCTGCAGCATCAGCTCCAGCTTCTCTGGAGGTGGCAAGATGGTCATTCTGCCGGCAAGAGAGAGAGAGAATGAGAAGGGGGGGGGAGCCTGGAAGGGGACCCGAGAGCCTCACTCGGCCACCTTCTCCCCTGCCCTTTGGGGACACTCTTTTCCTGGCACGGTGCAGGCAGAGACCAGCCTGGGACGGAGGCAAGAATCTCCGAGGGCCAGGTGTCCAGATCTCCAGGTGCTTCTTCCAGGAACCGCCACCACCCGGGGAAACAAGGATTGCCCCAGTGACTCTTTTCCCTCCCAGTAGCGCCAGGCTCCTGGTCCGGCCCGAGGGGGTGAGGGAACCCACTTGCTCTTTATTTTTTGTTAACCTCGGGTTCTGGACTGTCCGTTAGGAGAGAGAGACCTCTGCTCCTCAACGCAATGTGTCAGGGGTTTTGGACCCAGCCATTGCTTGCCAGCATTCCTTAAGGCCATGCGCCCCTCTGCGCAGGGGCCACTGACACCCCCTCGGCCAGAGACACAATATGGGGCCTCGCAGAACCAGCCAGCTTGTGAGTTGGTCTTTCCTGCATGTCGTTTCTGCTCCACAGGGAGGCAGGGGAGGTGTGGACGGAGCTTCTTGGCCAGGAGGGCCCTACCCGCTCTTGGCCAAAGGAAGCTCACTCCACCCGATGGTCGGGCCGGCCCTTTTCCTGGCACTCCTGTGGCCATTCTGGGATTCAGAAGGTGAGTGTTGTGGGAGGAGGTTGGCCGTTTGGCCCATGAAGGGGAAGAGCTTGTGGGAGGTTTCCCAGGGGTGGCCTGGCTCACACGGGGATGCACAGAGAAAGCGTCTGGGCCAAGCGATGCCCCTACGGATGGAGAGGGCAGCAGAGAGTGCCAAGACATAGGGAGACCAGCCTCTCGTGGCTCACCTGAGTTGGCAAATTCCGACAGGGCAGCAAGCGGCCGTGGCGGATCGTAGCCCAAGACGTCTGGCTCAGGGGACTAGGACCGGAGTTCAGGAATACGGAACAAAATGACGTCTGTGGGGGTCACGAGGCTCAGCCCCCCTGCCCTCCCCTGCCTGGCCACCCCCATGAAAGCCCGGAGGGTGCATACCGAAAGTGGAAGGTGCCATCCTTCTGACCGAAGCCGCTGCCAGGCACGATGCAGATCCCGGTCTCTTCCAGCAACTTCAGGCAGAAGAACATGTCGGGCGCCTGCCCTTGTGCCTGGTGAAAGGGCAGCCGGGCAGGGGAGGGGAGAGAGAAGAGACAGCTGAGGCTCACCCCGAGGATCGGTCCGGGCAGCGGAGGAAGAGAAACCCACCGGAGCCCTGAGGATCAGGCCCCGGTGGCTCCTGGCGAGGCAGCTTTCCTGACCTTACCTTGGCTTCTTGCACAGCAAGAGGTGGCAACTGGATCTGGGGGAAGGCGTACATTGCCCCCTGTACTGGGTTGCAGCGGATCCCCGGGGCCTGGTTCAAGACCTTTTCCGTCATCCGGGCCTTCTTGGCCAGGGCACTCAGCACGGCCTCTTTCTCCTGTGAAAAGAGATGACCTGTGGGTCAGAGGAAGGAGCGGGAGCGAGCCCACGTTCTTGGTCAATCTTCCACAGACCTGAGCAAGGGTGGGCACCGCAGGTAGGGTGCCAGACTGGGCCCTGGCGTGGCAGGGAGTGAGAGGCGCCTCCCACTCCCGGGCCATCCATTTGATCAGCACTTCCCCCTGCCCTTCCTCCCAGGGGGCACCCAGGGCCGGTGGCAGTCCCACTCACCCGGCTGAACTGCGGGTAGGAAGGCTCGTTGGGTTGCGGCTGGTTCACGACCACGCCGAGGAGGACCTGCCCCGTCACCGGCGGGCACAGCCGCACAGAAACCAGCTTGGTCAGCTGCTGCAGGACGTGGGGGTCCATGTTGATCACCTCCATGTAGCCGCCCCGGAAACCGCACCTGGCAAGGGGTGGAAGCCGACGGTGACCCCGCGTGCTGACGGGGCGGCCTGTGGGTGCGCGGCAGGGCCAGAGGGCAACTCTGGAGACATCCGCCCCACCCCACGCCCAGGCTTCCATCCTGGGTTTCCATCCTGGGTCACATCGGGGCGGGACAGCGCTCCGCTCTCCCTGCTGTTGGGCTTTGCAGGAAAGGGAGGCGGCCGAGGAGAGAGCCAGCGGCTTCCCGACGGAAGGAGAAGCGCCCTCGCCACTCACTCGCCCATGAAGCCCTTGGAGATGGAGTGGAAGGAGGCCAGCTCCACGCTCTCCGAGTACTTGGGGCCCATCTCAAAGAGGACCTTCTTGAAGGAGTGGAAGTGGGAGCCCTCCGCGTAGACGTTGTCCTGATAAACCTGGGGTGGAAAGAACCACACGGTGGTCAGCTACAACAGCGGCATCCAGTCCTGAAGCAGGGGCCACAGCCAAGGGCATGGAGACAGCAACAATCTTGCATGCAATTAACATGGGTATCGGTGGATGGGAGATTTCACAAGCGAAGGCAACTGCCTCTTTCTGCCACTAACCAATTAACAGAGTCACCCCACTAAGATGCCGCCCCTGGCAATTGAGGCAGCCCACCCCCAACCCACATTTCTGCCCCTCCTCTTCCTGTTTGTCTTGTGTGCTTTGTTGGCTCTCTCTCTCTCTCTCTCTCTCTTCTGCCCCTTCTCTTCCTGTTTGTCTGTGTGCTTTGTTTGACCCTTTCCACCATGTTGGTCACAAAGGCAATTTCTCCCGCATGTGGAAACTGCAACCTTCCTTTTATTCTTCCGCTTGTAACTGCTGACCACAAACTGTAAGTAACACGTCCCACCATGTGTTCACAAAAGCAGTTTCTCCCGCATGTAGAAATTGCAACCTTCTCTTTATTCTGCTGGTTGTAACTGCTGACCACAAACTGTAAGTAAAGATGCTTCCTCCTTTTTTTCCTGCTTAAAATGCTTCCAGAGTGATTTTTAAGATACAAAGTGCTAGTCACTGCGAGCGGAAGCAGCTGTGAAATTTGAGCCACTCTCTCTCATTTTCCTCGTGCAGTTGCTCTTTGTACGTTAAACTCTGCTAATGATCAAGGCATTGTTTGTTCTCTGCAACCCGGGATCTGTCGCTTCCCATCTCCACATGGTTCAGACCACAACTCCCATCAGCCCCCACAATTTGTCGTGGAAAGATGGGATCTGGAGACCAAATGACTTGGGGAGCATCAATTCAAGCCTGCACAAAAGCAGCCCTAAGCTGGGCCGGGATGCCTTCTCATCTGCATCTCTCAGAAGAAGACATGGACACCCACGGCTTGCTCAGCTTCTCCATTTCCCAGGAGAAAGAGAGAATGATAAAGAGAAAGAGAGAGAGAGCACCTGGCATTGACCAAAGGTAGGGGAGAACCCAGAAATCTCACCTCATCAGCCAGAAGGAAGAGCTGCTCCTCCCAAGCAAAGTGGATGACGTCCTCAATGCACTGGCGGCTTTGAACTTGCCCTAGGGTGGAAGGGAGAGAAGCCGGGTCAGTGGGGGAGCCCCGGATCAGGTCTTCTGGTGTCTTCCTTCCAGAGTTTGCTTGGGAACATCCCTTCTTTGGGGCTCAAATTCCCAGAATCCTGTCTTCTAGGAGCGGTAGTCCCAAGCAGCAACATTCCCAAGTTCCACCTTCCACTCAGGCGCACGGCTTTCTGGAGGCTCATTGACACAGCCAGTTATCCTGGACTGGCAACCCCCTAAACTTGGGGCTTGGAAAAGTGACTTTAGGGAGGCTGGCTGCCAGAATCCCCCAGCTGGAGATCCCAAGAAGCAGCCTTCGTCCCAAGAGGGCTCCGTCCGAAGGGTGGCTTCGTCCCTCCTCGGGCTCCTTTCCCACATCCGAGGCAGGCCTCGTACAGCAGAGGAGAGCCAGAAGAGGACTCACCGCCCCTGAGCTGCTGGACTGACCCTCGCTTTCAGGCCAGGACACTAAGGGACCCCGTGAACAGCCTCAGAGCGGCCGCCTCCTCGGCTGGGTAGAAGGTGCCGGAGAGACCTGTGGATGATGGGCCAAGAGAGTCAGGAACGTGGTGTCTGGACTTATGGGGTCACTTAGTATCCTGGCCTGAAGGTCAGGGTGAGTCCAGCAGTTCCCCTTAACTGGCTCAGGGGCGGTGAGTCTTCTTCTTCTTCTTCTGCCTTACTTTTGAAATGTAACTAAGATACTGTTACAAAGCAAAGAGGAAACTTGTGATTTGTAACTCATTCCTTCCCAGTCCTGCATCTTCCACCTGGGAAGGAAGAGGCTCTGGATTTCCCTGGAACGGAAGGTCATCACACACACACACACACCAACACAGCCTTTGCTGCCATGCCCCGGGGGGGGGCACCTACCGGTCGGGTTTCCGGGGTTGATGATGCAAAGGGCGCGCGGGTGGCAATGTTCCCGAGCCTGGCACAGCGCCCTCCGCAGCTCCCCGATGTCCAGCGCCCAGCACTTCTCCTCGTCCAGGTAATAGTTGATCTGGACGGCATTGAGCTCAGCCAGCGCCGCCGAGTAGAGTGGATACTGAGGGATGGGGATCATGACCCCCGTGCGAGAGCGCCCTTCCCCGGAGACCAGCAGCTTCAGGATGGTCTACACAGGACAGAGCCAGAGGGAGCCTCTGGTTAATGGAGCAGCACCTCCCGGCCCGTATCTGCCCCTCCAAGCCCCCCCTCCCCCTGCCCAAGACTTTGACCATTCAAGGCAAAGGGAGGGGGCTTTGGCCGGGGCCGAAGCCGCGGGAAAAAGCCCAGGGCAAAAGCAGAGAGAGGGAGAGAAACCACTGGCCGTCCCGTACTCCAGGGGTGGGCAATTAATTTCTATGGGGGGGGGGCACATGAAAAATCTGAACTGTGTTTGGGGCCCGAACCAACTTTGCTTAAAAATAAAATGAAACAGTGATGTTATGATGGTTCTTATTTTAAACTTCTTAATCTTCACAAATACTTAAGAGGGTGTTTTTTTTTTTGCGGTATGTTAAAGATAAGCAACTGATCAACTCTAGACAAAAAGCTATAAATGGTTTTCATGTTCAAAACTGTGCGCAGGCCGGACAGGAGCAGCTCGCGGGCTGTATGTGGCCCTCAGGCCGCAATCTGCCCAGGTCTGCCGTACTCAATCAACTTCGCCTGTTGATTCTGTGTCCCGTCCCAGGAACCCACCACAGATCCTGGCGTGCCTGGTTCCCAAAGATATCTTGGCAGCTACCCCTCCTCCAATGGGAAGGGGGAGTCCCTGGAGATCGGCACGCCACTTTCCCCCCGTGTTGTCCCACTTCTGCCAGGAAGGGAGATTGCCAAGAACATCCACAAAGGGGTCTTTGTGAAGTTGTCCTCGTGCCCAGAGCTGGCGGTTGGCGAGGAAGGCCTGGAGCCACCCTACTTTGGGGGGTAACAAAAGGGGAGGCCGGCTCTCGCAGAGCCATGCCAAGTGCGCTTCCCACATGCTGTGCGTCCTCACCACCCATCACTTTGCCCCTTGAGCCTCCTGGGCATTCCTGGACAGGTAGGGCCCTTCAGCAGCTGCAGCAGCTGGAACATCTGGAAGAGAGGCAGCTTCATCCCAGGTGGGAGAAGGCGCCTCCTAGAGGGCAGCTGGCAGGCAATGGGCACTGGAGCGCTGCCCCTGAGATGATTTTGTCCATGCAGCCCTCCACAGCTTGGAAAAGGCGGCATTTCACGGGCAGTCTCCTGCAGCCGGTTTCCTTCCTAAACCGTTGGTGTCAGTTTCCCTGTGCAAGTTCCCCAACCATAGTTATAACAAAAGGGGCTTTCCTTGACCTGTTCCTCCGCCCGTTCCACCCTCCTCCGTTGGGGGTAAAGGGAGCCCCACCCCTCGGAGGGGAGCTGCCCCTCCCTAGGCCACCCGGACCTGCCCTCCCCCAGCCGCCCACTCATCCCCCTCATCCCCCCCACGCCCGGGGGTCCCCATACCACAATCGCATCGCTGGCACCAGTAGAAAGGAAGATGTTTTCTGGGTTGGAGGGAATCCCCCCGTCCCGGCGCTCAATGAAGCGGGCCACATCCTGGCGGATAATTTCGATGCCCGGGCTGGCGCTGTAGGCCCCTGGAAGTGGGAGAAGAGGTCCCCGAGAGGGAACACAGTCAGGTCATCCCACTGGCCCGGGGGAGGCCAGGGAGGGGCTCTCTCTGAAGGGGGTGATGACCCGAAGGAAGACCTGGAGAGAAATCATCCTCCCCTTCCTCCAGAGGTTGCTCGGGACATGCCCTCCCAACCGTGTTTCAGCCTCCGTGGTTTCCCAGCAGATCCCTTTCTCGCCATCTGCAGCTCTTCCATTGAATCCTCAAGATCGTTCAGACAAGGAGGGAGCATAAAAGAGGGCCCCACAGATGTGGGAGAAAAGACCTCCCAGAAGGAGGAATCCCCCTTTTACAAGAAGTCCTGCAGGTTTTAAAAAAAGAAATCATTCTCCCCCCCCCCTGCTTGGCTGCTGTCCGTCAGGCCCCCTCTGCTCTCAGCCAACGGGTGGCCCTGCAGAATGGGGCACTAGGCTGTGCCCACCCCAGTCCTCACCCACTGGGGCCTGCAAGAACCACTCCAGCCCTGCCTCCTCCATGCAGAAGCCCATCTGCAGGGTCAGTGAAGAGGCAGGCTATTCCAGAAACCTGCCTCCCCTTGCTGGTGGCCATCAGGTGTTTTTTTTCAAAAGCAGTGCCAGACTGCAACATGCTGATGTCTGAAGTGGAGCCCAATGCCCCCCACTCCCTATCCCCCCCACACACACACTTTAAAAAAACCCTCCTTTTCTGCAGAATCCAGGCACCAATGTCCGACCTGCCTCGATTCCTCCCCTGTGAAGGAAGATTGCCCGTGAGCCCAGTTCCTTCACCCTGTTGCCTGGCAGAGCCGCCCCTGCTTGCTGCCTGACTGGGCAGGTGTGTCTTGCAAGGGTGGTGCCCAAACTGGAGGCAGAAGGGCCTGCTCAGCAGCACTCTTCCTCCTGCAATAGTGTGCTCTTCCACCTGGAGAGCAGGAAAGCCTCCTCCCAGGAAGGGCGGAGGAAGAAAGGGCTGGGAAGACTCACCTATGCTCTGCCCCCCACACGCTGCCAGCAGCCTCTGAGCCTTCTCCTTGGCATCCTTTGGAAAGCTGGGGTCCTTCAGGAGTTCAGGGTACATGCAGAGAGCGGACACCTGCCAAGGAGAGCTCAGGTGAGGCGTCTGGCTTCATGCTTTGCCTTTTGTCCTGCTCTCACCTCTGGCTGGTAAGCTGCACACCCTCCTGGCTCAATGCCCTCTCCCTAGGCTGATTGTGGTAGAGTAAAAGCACTCTGTACTTGGCCCAAAGTCCTCTCTTCTCTGTATTCTTGAAGGCTTTCACAGCCAGGATCTGATGGTTGTGGGTTTTCCGGGCCGTTTGGCCATGTTCTGAAGGTTGTTCTTCCTGACGTTTCGCCAGTCTCTGTGGCCACGGGCATCTTCAGCGGACAGGAGTCACGACTCTCTCTGTCCTCTGGTGCAGTTGTGGAATGGTTGAGTATTTATAGCTGTGGGATCAGCTTTTTGTCTTTTTCAGGAGATGTGAGTGATTTCTGACTCCTTTCCTCTGAAGATGCCAGTCATAGAGACTGGTGAAACATTAGGAAGAAAAACCTCCAGAACCTCCGAATGGCCTGAAAAACCCACAACAACCATCCTCTTTTCTTCACGATCAACTTATAGGTGCGAACCAGGGCCAAAATCAGCCTCAGGCCCTGGAGGTTTCTAGTGCTGAGATGTCCTCGGCCACATCTCAGGGGGGGGGGGGCTCAACAAGTCTGGGCTGAAATCCTTGTACTTTTCTCTTGCAGAACAAAAAATACTTCAATGGATGGGGAGAAGTGACTGCAAGGGGGGGGAACAGCTACCTCCCCTCCTTTTCTTTGCCCCTCCCGCAGGGGGTGCTGAAGAACAGGTGGGGGACACACACACACCCCAAAAATAGATTCCCCCACCCCAAAACACACAGGTCATCCCCCAAAATTTTACACACACACATGCACAAACGGTCTGAGAGAGAGAAAAGAAAGGATGAGCAGGAAAGCCTGCACGCAAGAGACCCGGGACAGGAGAGGGGGCCCCTGCCCGCCTCCTCTGGAGGGCTCAGCCTCTCTGGTCCCCACTGGGGGGAGGATTGGGCCCTCCCTGCCCCCTCCCCCAATACAGGGAGCGCAGGGGAGCCGTGGAAGCAGGAGAAGCAATGGGGGCATGCATATCCAGGAGTGGCCGCCCTCCCTTCCCTTCCCATACATGCCCCCACCGCCACCCTCTGGACCCCCGTCCCTCTGGCTCTTGGTTTGGGTGGCCCCGTGTCTCCTTTTTGGAATGGTTCTCCCTTTAACCATGCGGGGTGTGGGGGGGCATGGATTGAGCCAGGGAAAGAAGAGGGCAGGAGCCAACCCCCACACCACCCCACCCCACCCGCGGTGGCCACCAGGAGGCAGTCAAGGGTCACCTCTGCCTCCATCGCTCCCGGGCGGGTCCAGCGCCCTTTGAAACTGGATCAGGAGGAAAAAGAAATCGCAGGCTTTGCTGGTACCCTTGCGCGGAGGAGCGAGGAAGGGATCTGGGCCTCTGTGGGATACGAGGCGGCCCAAGAAGCCGTGGGCCTTCAGAGAGGTGCCGGTCGCTCGGTTTCCGAGCAATTCAACGCCGAGGGGGCTCGCCCCACCTTTCCTTCCACCCTCCCGGTACCCTCCCAGGTGGACAGGCTGAGCATCCGGCCTCCTTGGCAGCGTGTGGGGCCTCACAGCGACAGGCCCCGCTCCCCTTCCGGGCCCCACATCCTGCCTACCTACCTGGCGGAAGAAGGTGATGGGCTTCTGTCCCATGGCTTGAGCGTCCCCAATATTGGCTCGGATCACCTCCGAGAAGGGTTTCTTCGCCCCCTGCGCAGAAGAAGGAGGGAGAGGACGGCCAGCGTTAGGCCCGTAGGGGCCCCCATGGAGAAAGGACAAGAGGGGCATGATCCAGGCACCCTCTCTGGGCTCCCTCGGCAGGACACATGAAACGTGCACTCGTTTGCTCTGTCAGCGGCAAGAGAACGTGTCGGCCCAGACGCGGGGCTCCTGGTCAGGATGATGGGGAGCGGCGTTCATCCCAAGGGGGCAGGCCGAGAAGGGGAAGAGGCCACCCCCCAAAAAATAATTATTTTGGAGGGGGGGGAGAACCACCTGCAACACCCAGAGGGCTCCCCACCTCTTCCCACAAACACCTCTTGGCTGCTTTCGGAAACCAAACAGGGCCCCTGAGTTGCCCTTCTCTGCCCCTGGGGGGGGGGTCCTTCCCTCTCTCAGCTCTTCTTCCTCCTGAGAAGGCAGGGAAGGCCCCCCCGGGGGAAATCAGCCATGACACTGGGAGCCCCAGCATCTTTTCCCCAGGGCGGGCCCCAGTCAGTGAACAGATGCACAAAGGGAAAAAAAGTTCAACAGGTGTTAGCTTTTCTACCCCAGAGATGTCATGATGGGGAGCACACCATCTGGTTGCCTCCAGATGTTCCGGGTGGAGCAGGCAGTTGTTTGAACTCCATGTGTGTGTGCGCGCACACGCACACGCACACGCACACACACACACACACACACACACACGCACACACACACACACACACACACACCTGCACCAGCCTTGCTCTTTGTGCCTCGGCTACCGCAAGCGGGTCCAAGCCAAAAGCAGGATTCCCCCTTTTCTGAGCCCTGGTGAGGGTGAGGGCTTGGGAGGGTGGGTGTGGTGGGTGTCATGCAGCGTGGGGTGGGGGGTGGACCCTGGCCAACCCGGCCCAGTCAGGGAGGGAGCATTGCTCAGAGCATCCAGGAAGCGTTGCTGGGTCAGACCAGAAGTGTGTCTCCCATCCCCAACACCCCCCAACTGTTGCCCCCCACCCCAGTGTGGCCTCCTGCTCCCTCTGGGAAGCTCCTACTGGTGGGCCCCAAAGAGGGAGAGCCTCCTTCAGCAGGCAGTCCTCGGCCACAGGCCACCCTTAAGCCTGGGGGTGGGTGGGGGACAGGGGGGAGGGCCATAGAGCCAGGGTGGATGGTAGCCACTTGAAGGGGCCACTCCTTCTCTCCCACGTGCCTCAGTAGGCCACGTTAGAGGGCCTTCATGCATCGGATGGGGGAAAAACCAGTATCTGCTTCAAGGACCATAAATGGCTTGTTCAAGAGTCACTGCATTGTTGCAGCAGAAATGCAAAGGGGGGGGTGTTGCTGCCCGAAGGTTCCCCAAGCCAAGAGTGACAGTCCAGCCTCCCTCCCTCCCTTAGGAGAGACAAGAGATCCGGGGACCTCCGTCTGGGGGGCCTTTCTCTCCCCTTCACTGGGTGGAAGGGGCCAGAGAGGGCCAGGGCACTTCCCCTTCTGGCCCCCTCCCGAAGGAGGGGAGGGTTGGGGTCCCCACCAGGAAAGCTGAGCGAACCCATCCTCCACTCAGAGAGAGAGGACCGTCTCCACCCCATGGCCTAGTTTTTCTCTCGGAGAGCTCAGCCTTTCCGCTCTCCTATGACTGGCTCCACTTGGTTTGTTCCCATCCTAGTAATCAGCACATTGTGTTTACTTGTGATAAAAGTGCGACAAGGTTTTCTGCTAGCTCTCCATTGTTCTTCTGTGCCCCCAGATTGCTTCAGAGGTACGGCAACCCTTCCAGCCTTTCCCAGGTACAAGGAGGGGCTTGCCTTGCCACACCCCTCCCATGAATGTCCACAGCTGAGGCAGGATTGGAACTCAGGACAGCTGAGTCCTGGTGTGACACTTTGTCCACTCTTCCCCACCAGCTCTCGGCTTCCCCTGGAGGAAGGAGAAATTGGCACTGCCAACCTGCATTGCCTCTGCCGTTATTAAGCATACTTTGACTGGCGTAGCCGAGATCTCTGTGCAGTGAATGGCTTTCCTGGTTGCGTATTTCTGTAGACCCATCAAAGGCATAAGAGCAATCCAGGACCAATATTCTGGTAAGTTGGCAGCTTCACTTAGCAAGGAGAGATATGACCAGTTGTCCAGGTCTTCTGAAGCAGGAGTCTGGATGTCCTTTCACTCCTCTGCCTAGCCCTTCACCCTCCTCCCACCCGTTAAAGGCCATGCGTCCCTCAGAGTAGGAGGGAGGGAGGGAGGGAAGGAAGAAAGGTTACCACCTGGGCATGGCAGGGCTTTTGAGTAGCGATGTACGGAAGGGAGAGCTGGACCATAAAGAAGGCTTTTGAACTGTGGTGCTGGAGGAGGCTCTTGAGAGTCCCCTGGACTGCAAGGAGAACAAACCTATCAATTCTAAAGGAAATCAACCCTGAGTGTTCACTGGAAGGACAGACCCTGAAGCTGAGGCTCCAATCCTTTGGCCATCTCATGAGAAGAGAAGAGACCCTGGAAAAGACCCTGATGTTGGGAAAGTGTGAAGGCAAGAGGAGAAGGGGACGATGGAGGACGAGGTGGTTGGACCAGCATGAATTTAAACCAACTCTGGGAGGCAGTGGAAGACAGGAGGGCCTGGCATGCTCTGGTCCATGGGGTCACAAAGAGTCAGACATGACTTAACAACTGGACAACACATGGCAGAGCTGCCCACGGGCCCAGCTGGCAAAGGCCCCCTTCCTCTTGCAAAGCCCTTTCAATCTCAGGAAGAAATGGCAGTGGAAAGTCCCAAGGGAAGGGTGGCCACTGGTCTGCTTCTCACAGATGCATGTCGGCCGCTCCTCATCTGCTGCTTGGCACAGTGAACGGGGTGTGCCAACTAATTTCAGTCTCAGGAAGAAATGGCAGCGGAAAGTCCCAAGGGTTAGGGTGGCCATGAGAGTGGCCTCCGGTCTGCTTGTCACAGGTGCGTGCCGGCCACTCCACATCTGCCGCTTGGCACAGTGAACGGGGTGTGCCAACTGAGCCGTCGGAGTCCAAACTGCCACCAACATTACTTCTGTCGAGCTGATCTTTGGTGGACAGGCTGGCTGGGGGATTCTGAGGGTTGTAGTCCAAGGAGGCACCGTGACCCATGCTCCATCCTCCATCTATCCAGCCTGGCCCGGCCTGCGGCTCTGACCAGGGGCAACACCTCTTTTCTCTCTTTCAGCTGCAGGCGAGAGGGACGGATCCAGGGGTCCTCTCTGCAAGCCCAGCCGGCCTTGGCAAATAGGCGGCGGCCCCTCTTCCTGCTCACGGGTGTTTGCTCAGGAGTCGCACCTGCAGCATCCTTCTGGGACAGCCAGAGCCACCCCTCAGGTCAGGCTCACCTGAGCAACTCGCCCGGCCGAAGGGCCCAGGGGGCCACCACCGAGGAGCTTTCCCCCACTTCAGAGGCTGAGAAAGGAAGCCAAAAGGCATCGGGCCGGATCCCGTCTCTGCATGAAGCAGCACCACCAGAAGCACGTTCTGCCCTTTCCTGAACCAGGAGAAAATCCTGGGACAAACCCAGTTCAGTCTGGCGGTGGTGTTTCCAGCCTTCCTTGCAAAACCTCCGAGGCCCTGCTTTGACCTCCTGCACGGCTGGCCCACGGTCTGACTCTCCAGGAACCCCGTTGCCAGGGTCTCTCTCCAAAGCCACCTTCCGCCTCTGGGCGAGCGTGGCGCCTCCCCGACTCTAGAGAAGCCATTTCTCCGGCTTTAAGAACCAAAACCTGGCAAGGAACTCAGAACCACTCGGAGAAACGGGAATGCCAGCTTCGCCCAGATAGGAAAAGCGTTGTTGTTTGCTTTAAGCACCTGAAGGCGACAATTTTGCCCTGCTGGAACCTGGATTTATACTTGTGTCATTTAAAGTTAAAAGATAACATTAAAAGAAACCCTGGCCGTGTTTTTTGGGGGGGGGGAACCGGTGGGTGACGTATGCTGTCAGAGAGCCAACTCAGCTGAAGGAAGGAGTCTCCCAGAGTGGGATGCTGCCCTGCCTGGCCTGGTGCCATGGGGGAGGGACACGTGGCTCTCTCTTACCTGCTGCAGCTCTTTCTCCAGCTGGACGGCCCGGGTGACGATGGGCCCCCGTACGGCGTACTCCACCTTCTTGACAAAAGGGTTCATAGACTCCAGGGTGAGCACTTTGCCCCGCTGGGCCAGCCCGTTTTCCGCCATCCTCCCTGGCTCTGCTGCCCGCTGCCCCAGGGCCCTGCAAAGGGAGGAAGCAACAGGAGAAGCTGGAGTGAGTCTCAGGAGGGGGACCCACGACCACAGGCAACCTCCGGTCCTGCCCCGGGGATGCCAGGGGCCGGCACGCAGGACAGCCCGGGCCATCTCCTGCCTTGGCATGGCCACCTCCGGGAGGATGTCGCCAATTTCCCCAGCTAGGGTTAAAGTCCTGCCCGTGGAGAATGGCACTCCGGTGCGCTGGGCTGGGGCGGGACGGGGTGGCAAAGGTCTGCCAATTCCCACGCTGGTGGGGGGAAAAAGAGGGCTGGAGCTCCAGAGGAGAGGGGAGAGCAGACCCTCCTCCCCCCTTCCCTTCCCCTCCTTGCCCATTGCAGAAGAAGAAAAAGGGGACCTTGCTTCTTGGCTGCTCTCCTTGGCCCACCAGAGAAAGGCACCTACCAGGCAGCCCAGCAGCGAGAGCAGAGGCTGCTTCCCACACGGGCTGGGTGAGGAAGGAGCAGCTCCTTTTAATGCAGGGCAGCCGGAGGAGGAGGAGACTCCCGGCTGGAAGAAAGAGTCACATTGTGGGGAACGGTTGAAAGGGACCTGCCATCTCGCCTTCCGAAACAAAGGACCCGAGAGCAAACTGCACCCCCCCGCCCGCTTCCCCACGGAGTCTTTCACTGGCTCTGGGCAAGCGGCCTTCGTTGGCCTGGGCAGGGAGGCGAGAGGACGGGGGGAGGAATGCTCAGAGGGGTGTCGGGGAGCAAGAAGGGGGGTCCCCTTCGTTTGCACCAGCGCTAGAACCAAGGAAAGCGGCTGGCGCTGGCCACGGGCAGGCCTGGAGGGACCCCAGGCTCACCTCCCCAAACCTTCCTAAACACTCAGCGCCGTGGATGGCGTCCGAGGTATTAGCCGGACTGGTCTGCAGACAAACTCTCAACAAGTCAAATTAGTTTTGAGTTACTGGAGGTGGAATCCTGGCAAGGCCGGCAGCTCTGCAAATTCTCCAGTGCAACTTGGAGGCTGAGATCCTGTTTCGCTATGTCCAAGGTCAAGCCACGTTGCTTTCTTCTAAGGCTCTCCGCAGGCCCAGCATTCAGGAGTAGAAACCCAGACTAGTCGACTTAAAAGGAGCACCCCAGGGGCCATCTAGTCTGGCCCCATTTTGCCAGGGCAGGAGTCCACAGTTAGAACGCACGTCTGCATGCAGTGCTTTTGTGCCACAGGAAGGTCCCTGTCTAGGACCTCTGGGCAAAGATAATGGAGCCGGGTGTGGATGGAGGATCAACCGGACGGTACTTGAAAAGCCCATTCATCGGTGAGTCTAGACACCACCTAAGGCAACACCAGGTGCCCCTCCAGCTCGGAGCAGCCTTGTCACTCCACCCTCACTGCGCTAAACGCAGGGACATCAATCTGTCTGTAGGAAAGGGATCGCTTGCTGAACAGAGGGTGTTGCTTGCCATGCAGAGGCGATTCTGTCACCATCAAGATGCATCCACAGGGATGATGCACACGGGAGCATCACATGTAGGCACAAAGACCCAGACGTCATGTCCCCCTTCATGCAGAATCACACAGACAACCCTTGGGTACAATAAATTGCACAGATCCATTAAAAGAACCCCAAAAGCCATGGTTGGGGAGCCACCAAAGGTGCCCAGGCCAGAAAACTAACATGGTGATGGCCTTGTAAAGTCTCTGCAAAACAGAGGCTTAAGTCAAAGACGGGCTTAGGCTCTACGAGGTGTTTTGAAGGGTTCCGATTGCATCAAGCATGTGGGCACACGGTTGATTGCAACCAACATGCATGCACACACGCTCACAATTTCTGAAAATATCCGGCCCATTTATTCTTAGGAGCTATCTCCCCGACGGAGCTGCAGAAAGTGGCCCCCAGGAAGACAGTCGCACCCCCACAGGAGACAAGAAAGACATAAATCCACACACACCCCATGCATGAATGCCATTTCTAAAGTGCTCCGGGCCCTTTGGAAATGGCTCTTTTGATACAAAGGTACACCCCGATGGAACGGGCCCGATAGAGGTGTTGTTGGGGGTGGGGTGGGGGAGGCATCAGGTAAGAAAGGGATAAAAGTTCTTCCAGGAGATTTGGTGCAAGTGGCTTGCATGGTCACGGGAACAGGGAGGCATCCCTCAAACTGGAGGAAAAGGAAGAGGATGAGTCGTGGTGACTCAGCATCCCTTCTGTCTGGGCAGGACCAGCTGGGCTCGCTCGGGCTCATAGGATCAGAGGGGAAAACCCTTGGCCAACAGGTCGGGCTGGCTTCACAAGAGACCTGAGGAGCACGTTTTCTAAACATCACCTGCTGTCAATGAGTACCACTCCATGGATCCAGAGGCAGAGAGTGGACACCCCCCTGGGACCCACACACAGGCTCATAAGAGCTCCAGGGTCCATACCTGGATGCTGGAGGTCGGAGGGCATCCGGGGCACCACCCAATCAAGAGACCAACCCACTATTCCTTGGTCCTTATGTCATCCAGTCGCTTTTCACCTAGGCAAACGCCCAGGCTTCCAGGGCATGTGCAATGTTCAAGGAGAGGGGGGTGACCATTTTACCACCCTCAGGTGAGCTTCCTTGGCTGAGCAGGGATTTGATCCCAAGCCTCCCTCTGCTGCTCCAGCCTGGTTTTCACCCTCAATCCTGACAGCCACCCTCGTGTCTCTTCCATCACTCAGGCAGCCTTGTTCCTGGATGGACCGGCAGGAGTGGGCAGGTGGGCAGCCGTTCTACGCTCCTTCCACCAAGGAGGAGGAGGAGGACAAAGGCGGTCAATAGGAGCGTCCTAAAAGGCAGGCCCCTGGTCAGTGGGTTCAGGCCAACCGGGTGGTCGATGGCCTTCTAGGGTAGCTGTGCATCAAAACCTGGCCCGTTGGAGTTGGAGTGGCAGTGGGAGAAACCGAGCTTCAGCCCATCCACCCCTCTCTCTCTCTCTGCTTTGGTCCGTGAGCTCAAGCACACAACGCTTCGGGCCAGAATCCCACCAGGAGGCCAAAGGAGGTCAGACCCACTGAGTGGGTGGGACTTGGTGCAGGTTCACCATTCAACGTTAGGCTCCGTCAGCCTTCATCAAGCTGGGAACACCAGGCGGGGTTGAGCCTCGGAGCCCCAACGCCTCCGTTGCCCTTTATGCTGTGCAATGGTTAGCGATGCCCACGGTTTGCTTGGCTGGGGCGGAGGCCGCCTTCTCCGCTAGCCCTAAACCGTACAGTATTTGCCTGCCCCGTCCAAGGGCACTCCGGGAGGGTCCGGGAGGGAGCTCAATCCAGGCTCAAGACAGGCTCCCGTCCCTCCGCCTGGGCTGGGGTCTCGCCCATTTCCTGGGCAACTTCGGCCCCAGCTTTTTCCAAGCCAGCTTTGGAGAGACCGGCCCTCCGGCCCCTCATCATCCCCTCATCTCCCACCCCCTCACCTGCTGTTTCATGCTCAGGTGGCCTCCAGCCCCACCCTCATCCCTCTTCAGCCCTTCACAGCCGCGTCCCTCCACCGGGGACCGGACGTGGCTCCCAGCCGAAGGGGAGTGTGCCCCTCGCCTTCTGAGGGACAAAGCGGAACGTTCTAGAGCAGAATGCTCTGACCCTTCTTGGGGGCGCTGCCCGCCTCACAAAGGCGCCACGGGCCAAGACCCGTGGGAGGACGGGGGACAGGGCAGCTGCCAAGGAACCCTTTGCCCCATGAAACAGACTAGCCGAGGAATGAACCACCACCAGCATGGTGACCAGGCTAATCCCATCTTGGCTTTGGCAGACCTTGGGAAAGGCAAGCAGGTGGAGGTTTGGCCACGAGGAGCAAGACGTGGGCCTCTCGTCGTCACCGTTCCCAAGCTGATGTCCTCTAGATGTGTCGGATTACAACTCCCATCAGTCTGAGCTGGAAAGTTATGGGAGTTGTAGTCCAAATGGATCTGAAAAGCACCGGCATGGGAAAATGGACTTGACAGAATGGAGAGGAGCAACAGTGCCCATCTTTTGGTCCGGTGGGCAGGAGTCCTCTTCCCCATCCCCACCGCCCCCTAAGGTGCCCTCGTTCACCAGAAGGTCCCCCCTCCTCATCCTTGGAAGAGTTTTTGATGCCCACCGTAAAACATCCAAACGTGTGGATCAGCCCTCATCCAAACTCTTTCCTGTGGAACAGGGGTGATCCCCCACCCCTGGCCTCTCCGGTCCTCAGGTGGCCCTCCCTGGGATGCTCTGGGCCAAGGGCTCCATTCCACCAAGGCCTCCCCGCCCCCAGGGCTTCCTCTGCCTCTTTTTCGCTCTCTGGCCCCCTCTTGTGGGTGTCCGTGCAGCTTCTTCCCTCTTCCCCCCATTCCGTCTCCTGCCAATATGGAAAAGGGAGAAGCTCCCAATGGCACAGATTTGAACCCTGGGAATTTGCAGAAGGAGAGCAGAGGTGCTGACTTTCTGTTTTCTGATGGCCGGACCTGTTGGACTCCCCAGGAAGATGGGGCCCTCTCGTCCCCTCGGGGTTCCCTTGCAAAGAGGTCCCAAGACCCAGGGGGCTTTCCGTGGCCCGCTTGATCCGAGGCAGCCTTTCTCTCTCAGACCCAGATGCCAACGTCCTTGCTCTGTCCACGGATTCCCCAGAGGTGGGAACAAAATGATGGACAGAATCAGGCCGGATCCAGTGTGAAAGGTCCTTCAGAGGCTCCTCCCAGGATTCTCCCCCTTCCAGAAACTTTCATTCACTTGCCCTGAAGGTGGATGAAGGGAAGGAGGGGGAATGTTTGCAAGGCTGGGGTTTGGTTTTGTTTTTTTAGCACCACCTGGTGCCACCTGCCCGGCGCTCTGCAAACAGCGATAAGACCAGCCGAGGGGCGGGAAGGTCCCCTTGGCCCGGCCACCACTCACACGCTCCTCCTCGGGCAAAGCAGTCGAGTGTGTCCTGTGTGTGTTTCTGCAGTCGCTCTCCAGAGAGTCTCCCAATGATGGGGGCTCACCCTGGCAGGATAACTTGCCCCCCACCCACCCTTCCTGGTTTGGCGTGCATTCGGTTTTCTGTGAGAGCTGAGGAGAGAAAGGTAAACATGTGTCTGTGGTGGGAGGTGGAAGTGGAGGAGAGAAGCAGGATGATGGGACACATGGCCGGCTCAGAGGAGAGTGTGTCGGGGACAGCGGTGGGGTCCCGACTCTCCATTTGATGACCCACCAGGGAAGGCAGAACCTATGGGTCCCTGATGGGAACGGGGGGGGGAGGAGAGTGACAAACTGGTTGGCAATCTCAATTCAAGGTTTGAGAAGAAGGAAAGGAAAGCAACGGCTTTGCTCCGGGTTTCGGAGCTGGAATCGAACCCTCTTGCACCAGGGCAAGGTAAGTCCTTCTCGGGAGGAACAGGCAGAGGCCACACACACACCCCTCAAAGTCCAGTCCGGCTCTTGTTCCGTTCAGCGAAGCAGGATTGACTCTGCACTGGCTGGGGAGGGGACAGGGGGAGGGGAGCCAAGCAGCCCCCCCCCAGATGTGGTTGGGACTAGGAACCCCAGGATTTCCCCCTTAACTCTCCCGACCCTTGAATATAAACGGATCACAGGGCGAGACACTGTGATAGTGCCCAAGTTGACAAGGTCACCAGGACGACCACATTTCTTTTAACAGTGGAGGATGATGGTGATGATGATGAGTGCCACAGACTCTTTGCTTGCCCGGGTGCTGAGAGTCTGGGCCGCCCGTCCCCTCGCACACCACGCACGCACAGACCAAGCGAGGTCTCCCCAGATAAGCCTGCAACAAAGGGACCGGGGTGTTCAAGGACACCGGAGGGGGGGGGGACAG